GGAACGTGGGGATGCTTCGGCCATGGCGAGGGAGGGCTTCCGACGGTCCCTGCACGGTCGGGGAGGCTGGGGTGTTGCGGCGCGCCGAGCAGACTGGGCACAGCGGGCATAGGTGGGGTGCAGGCGCAACCCGCGCAGACCAGATGCAGGGGGGCGCGGTCACGTTCGACATACGGTACATTACACGAAATATCAAAAGGGCGGTCTCCCGTACAGGTGCAAAACCACAAAGTACTGTTAGCAGCCGCACCCAACGTCCCATCACGCCTCACTGGACCCCTATACCCTGCCAGTACCTGTCCCATCAAGGTCCTAGGACCTTTTGCAAAAGTTCTGGTCCATTCAAGGACACCCCCTACGGTTCATGGTCTCCCCAAAACGGGTCAGGAATTGGCCGTTTTTCCCTCTGAAAGTCACTCAAAAGGCCCTTACAAACCGGCCAACCTCTCACTCAGGGTCCCTCACCACACGCCCTGCACACACCGTGCCTCTTTTTCCCCGGCTAATAGTACTGGACAATCTACCATAATCGCATACTAAACCCAATTCTGTACACCAAATTCCATCACCGTCAAACTGTATTGTATCCCGTCAGCATGCGGCTCCAGCTGACTAGTTTTCGCCCTTTTCCTTGACCAGTTCACAGCCCAGTCACAGCCGTCCGTGCTGCCCGTAGAGTGCTCTTCAATTGACGTCGTTGTTGCTCATTCTGGACGGTTCTGATGAGCGGCATTGCAAAACAGCGAGATGGAGGACATCTCAGCTGTAAATGCATCAATTCGTGTGCACTGGAGAGAAGCTAAGCGTGCGTACGTTTGCCTTGATCATTCAGCAGCTGCATGACCGCTAAATGTAACCGTATGTCATGCGGTTCAATGTGATTTCTGCTGAGCACATTGACCTTTCCTTTCTCTACGGTTTTCTCTCGATTACAGTGGTGGTCATTTACTTGAGCAGAATGGACTGTAATCGAACAGGGTTTGTTTTATTTACATGTTTTTAGCATGCAGAGCACTGATGGAATGCATATACATGTGCTCGCAAACGTGGTGTTTGGACGTTTACTTGTGATCTGGTGATTGATGCTGAGAAGTAAATTCTTCGAAGCCATGGGAATGTCTGGAAGTGTGAAGCAGATCTTGGCATTGCAGCTTTGAAAATCTGCAAATCAGGGTTCCGAACATAGTCTATTGTCCTCAAGTAATGTTAAGATTTGTCCCCACGAGACCTCGTGGAATGATGCATGTACATGTGCTGCACATGTGCAAAACTTTGACCAATGATGACAGGACCACAGGGGCCTCCTCAAACACCGGCTGTGCAACAGGTGCATATGCTTTCTCAGAGATCGCTCTCATCATTCCCTTCAGGCTACCAGTGAGAATTGAAACCGAAGGCAATTCTGACAATCCTGCATCCATGCTGCCTGCTCGCCCGACACAGGCCTCCTGATCCAACACAATTTTCATCACAGTCCTCAATAGCAGACCAGTGAGCGCAAGCAAAAAAAAAGTTGATGCACAGGACAAATGAATGTACCAAACACCCCGTCTACTCTCCTACTACTGATGTAACTTGTGAAAAAGCCAAAGGTGTGACAAAACTTGCCCATTAGGATGTCTCACTTTGTTTCTCTGCAAATTTACTCTCATATTACCCTCCCAAATAGCAGCCGAATGTAAAGCCGATGACAGCTCTGACAGTCTCACAGCCATGCTGCCTGTTCGCCCAACACCAGCCGTCAGACGCAATGCGCATTCCATCAAGGTCTTAACCAGCGGCAGAAATCAGCACCGCAAAGAAAGCCGGCGAAGTCCTGGTTTCATACTTTCTTGTCTTAAGCGAAGAATCGCAATCTTGCCTGTACGCTTCCCAGTTCTTCTGATATTAAACGTTCGATAAGATATTTTCAGTACAAGACCCAGAAAACCATTCTTTGCGTAGCAGCAGTGTTTCTTTCAGTTCCCTCTCTGGGAACTCCAAGGGCAATGCCATTTTCGCCCTCACGTCCGGATTCAACAAGTCGCCATCAATTGCCTGTTCCTTTGTGCATGGCTGACAGCTTTGAGCCAGACGCACAGGCGTCCGGCAGAACGCGTGAATAGCTCTTGCCGCCCTCTCCACACACTCCGAACTGCTGAACACGTCCTTCAGAATTTCATGCATGGCCTCCCTCCACGTCTTCTAGGTGATGGTCAAGATCTCGCCCATAATTTTCCAACTGCCGCGAAGCCTGGGCTTCAGCGTCATCCTCACGGTCTCGTCGGCTGCCGGCACCAGGTGCGTCCTCTACTAGAGGACGCACCTGGTGCCGGCAGTACGGAAGCGCCTCGCCCATTTCCGACACTGCGTCATCCGGCTGCTGGTCCTGCCGTTCCCCTCCGCGACATTCACTCGATCCGCGACCCGCCGCGGCCTGCAACTTCCACCCCAGGCCTGCAAGTTTACTGGGGGTTTGCCGCGGCGTGAATAGGACCTTGCCGTTGGCCTCCCGCGTCACCAACGTTCATGACCCGCCCGGAATCTGCACACGACGATGTCACAGTTCCCACCGCCACCGATGCGCTGGGCGTGGACCTCTTGGCCTCAGCCACGGCCCCAGCGCCTCACGCGGGGTGCGGGCCACCCAGCCCTGAAACCGGTCCAGCCACCAGCGCCGGCGAATGGCTACGAAGAAATGGTGATTTACGGAAATGGCGTTCTATTCGCATGATGAGAAGGTTCTTCAGTTCGAGGTGCGGCAGCCCGGCATTATGATACAGTACTGCATAGGTGCCGTACAGGGGAGCACTCCGAATGCCGACAAGAAGTTGGCCAGAACGCACACAGGAGTCGTCTTTTCATGCCAGGTGCATGTTCATGGCCAATCAAATGTGTACCCAAAGGTGCGCGGCGGATCTCAGCAGTGCGCAAGTGCTGCCATGAGCATATGCACAATGGCCGTGAGCCAGCGACTGGACCGAAGCTACAGGGCAAGAAAAGCCCAAAGTGCACAGAACCTCAGCCAAGCAAACCGTGCTACTTGATGTTTATTCCGGGATTGGGTAGATTTTGATACACCGCTGCTGATACATTGCCATTTGTTGTGGTTGAACCCGCTTTGGGGTCACCCTTTCAATGAATTTTCATCTGTGCTAATGATTTTGCCGTTCGGGTTATAAGAGTGCCAAGCGGCGGCACCGTATCTTTTCTAGCTCTGCAGCCCTCTGTCGAGGGTGCAAACTACTGCGCAGGCGAGACCGTACAGAGCGGCCGTCAAAAGGCTGACCCAGCGAGGGTCAGCCGCACACCGGCCTGTCCATGCAGGACATGCTTCCCAAGACAGCCCAGCAGCCGTATACAGCTGGACGTGTTGTTAAACGAGGTGTCGCCACAACATTGGTCTAATGCAGAGAAAGTTGCCGCAGTATTCATGTACCAACATAGACAAGCGTTCATGCGAATTCTAAAGCTACGACAATGTTGATGCGCAATCTCTGTGGCCGAGCCATTTAACGCTGAGCGGTTGGAAGTGCGCTTATGTGTTGCATCAAATGCCACCAAAGCTCCAAAATCGTTGCCTAGACCGCACTAAATGCACGGCGCATGATCAGAGACTCTTGCCGCGGCGAGCTGAACGAATCAAATTCGCACATGCAGCATATTTACGTTGACAATTCAAACAAAATTAACATTATTTTACTCAGTGAATCATTCGCTGTTTGACTGTTTATGTTAGTCTAACATAGGCATTAAGATTGCTGTAACATACACTGCACCAACATTAACATTGAATTCACCTTCGGCCTTCGGGTAGAAAACTGCGTGGAAAGAGACAGCCATAAATACACAGATGCCCCTTTTTCTGAAGACAAACAAGTTCTTGTGTTCAAGAACTATTCGTGGATGCCGCACACGTGTTGGTTCTGGACCGGGACGATCTGCCACATCTCCGAGTTCATGAGTTACGCCATCAACTTTCAGAAGACTGTGGCCAAATTGACACACTCAAACTGGAGACGTGCATACAAACAAACCCCTCCACGAAACTGCATCTTTTGTACTGTTGCCATAAAAGCCAGGATTCTCCATGAACAATTTGTCATCAAACCAACGGCAGCCCGTGACCATCACAAACCGAAATCATTGTTTATTCTGCATCCAGAGAAAAGCATTAGCTTGCAGCGCATTACAGCGCGTTGCAATAAAAGCGCGCCCCTGCCCTTCGTCAGCTTAGCGCTATGGTCAAAATTGCAGTTCCCAAGATGATTATTCTTGTAGAAGTATGCAAGCGAATTCTCAAGCTATCCGACACTGCGCTCTCCCCACATTATTGCACTGTTGTCGCGAAAGCCATCTCATATCCTCTTCAGGTATATGGCAAAATAATTTTTCCAAGCACACTATGTACGGGACTCGGCTTCATGGCAACAAACTAGAAACTGCCAGTGGAGAATCCAAATTTGGAGTCTCTGCGCCGCCGTTGTGTGCTCTATACCATGATATCCTCATCTCTACAGGATATCTCTGCAACCTCTCGTCATTGCATCTCCTGCACCTTGCCAGTTGGTGCAGGTATCTACCCTGGTTGATTTATGCCAGCCTTGTGCAAATAAACTCCTGTTTCCATGTTATGCTTCCTCCATGCTATGGCAATGTCCAACGAAAATCACCAATTCCTTGTTTACCCATAACAAAACGTGCCATGATTACTATGAAAGAGCAAGTGAATGCTCAATCTTCCAACCCCGTTGCAGCCACAGTAACTTTGATCAGGCTCTACGCAGCAATCACAAACTTTTACCTTCCAATTAGCCAACAAATGCCAAACTCTGCTGAAACAGAGATTCTTGTTGATGCGCCCACCTCATCAGTGACACACAAACAGCTAACCACCAACCACTTTTCTTGTATCTGCGCCCGCTCACACTTACTGATCCCCTGCCTGTCAACGCAGGCGATCAGCCTGATGCCCCTACCAACATCAGCAGACCACGGGCCGTGTCTCCCATTTGTAGCCTTTATTGCTGTGGCACATTTTGCGGTGCTGAAACCCTCAGCATTTTGAGGTAGTCGTGTTGAAGTGAGTGCAAGACCCACAGTGTTGGGACAGTCTTAGATCCCTCGCTGCACACCTCCCGTTGAATGAGGAAATGGCGCTCAAGCTTTTCTGCCATTTGCAGTGCCTGGTCATCCTGCAAGTTCCACACAGTGCCCAACTCACCAATTGTGGACTGGAACCCAATTGGCAGCGCTTCCAGTGACATGTAGACCTTCCTTTCGTTCCAACTCAGGGCGTCCAGTGCGAAATCGAAGCATCTGCTGACATTTGAGTGCCTCTCCACGTCAGCGCTGTGCAAGACGACATCGGATTTGATGCGCATCTGCAACCTGCAGTACGGATCCCGAAGTTCTGCCATCAGATCATCAATAGCAGCCGCACTGGCTGCCCCTTCTGCCCTCATTGCATCCTGGAACAGTGTTCCCATGATGGACAGCGCAAGGGGGTGTCCTCCACATGACTGCAGTAGCTCCTCCACTCCCTTGAGCTGGACAGCGGCTGGCACCAGGTTCAGAAACAGCTTTCGCGAGCTGACAAAATCAAGAGGTAAAACTTCAACGCGCTTGAATTGCACGTGGTTGTCAAAAATGCCCTTCACCTGGGAAGTAACGAGCAGAGCACATCTGAGTTTCAATACACTTTCCAGCATCTTCGGATCCAGCACCCCGTCAAGAACCAAGAGGCACGATCTTCTTCGCAGCTTGTTGTTGATTCTTGTGACGAGGTCATCAACTCCCAACCCGGCCTGCTCCCTGTCTGCCACGAAGGGTCCATCAACAAACATTTCTGTCATTCGTCTGTGAATCTCCCGAATGATGGCGAGAACTGCATCCGGACCAGGTGCCCCGGATTGCAACCAGAAGATACCGCTCCAGAAATGAGCCAAGGCTTTGATGCTATTGATGACTGATGTGCCCAGCGCTGTCTTTCCAATCCCTGCCATGCCTACAATGGCCACCCTTGGATGACTGTCGTCTGCTGGTTGGTCTGTCAACCACTCTTGTATGTCGTCTTCGGCCTTGCCTCGGTGGACGTAATGTTTGCATACATTTGGGACATTGCCAATTTGGCGCAACTGGTCCATGCTGGCAGCCTTTCCCCTCTGCACATCAAACCGGTACGGAAATTTATTGAGAAATTAAAGTATGAATTGCACTGCAGAATTACTGTGCACAAAATAGCGGCCAATATAAACTGCTCCAAATTGACAATGACTGCTGTGCTGTAATACAGAGTTTGGTGTATTGCATCTTGGATGCCTACAGTGGACTGCATTTCGATGCTAACAATCTTATTAAGTTGCATCTCGTAGCCTGAGATAGCTTTTGATTGCCTTAAAGTTAAGAATTCAGGTAATGCACACATCCATAATCTTGACTTTTCCGCATTTGTATTTGACATGCCAAGAGTCACAGTCAATCTACATAACATGTTGCCGTGCTGTAAAACGACAAGCATCGCTTAAAGGAGATCTATAAAATGACGTTCCCGGCCCCAGGAACAACGAAAGGTCGCTCACCATGCCCATTGCTTTGCTGATGAAATTTAGGACTAAATAAGATGAAATGACCCCGGCTGCCACGATGGCGACGATTCCACCCTGTTCACAAGAAGAAAGCAGAATTAGGGAGAGCCCAAAAATTTGTCCATTTCATCTGCAGCATCGGAAGCGAATTTAGGACGCCCAAGTATTCAGCTCTAGTTCGCCTGCTTCCAGCTAATCTGATATCAATTCACACTGGAAAAGCTGATTCATAAAATTAATTTTGTTTGATCCATAAAATCACATCCATTTAGATCATCCATTATAAACAGGCTTGGCTTTTATGCTGTCAACACAAATAATACTTTATTGTTGGGAAAATTATTTACATGTATCTAAAAATATTTACAAATTTTGTATTTACAAATATTTTTTCGTGTGTACAGGCACAAGATGCGTAAATGCACGTATAATACCGCCAGTTTACGCAGAGCCTGGGCTGCCTGGCCAATCAGTGATCAATTGTTCCCTTCGCCGCCATGGCCCTCTGCCAAGCACTGAACGGATGTGAAAGGCTTGCAAGCCGCCTGCGTATACTGCGTCCCAGTCATCACAAAAGTGGAGATGGCCATTTCTGGGACGTCAGTTGACTATAAACGAAGACTGCTGGAACGCCACTCGGGCGCTACCTCGTCGCAAGAAGCCCACCAGTGGCGTCTCAGTAAATGTGATTCCTTGTCAGCTGGGGTCCCAGAATGTTATTTTGGTTCAACTAGTGTCAATGGCGGGGAGGCGCACGATGCTGGCATCAACGGCTCCGGCGCCAGAGACTTCGCCCATGCTGTCAAGCATTTCGTCAATTCACGTCATTTCGTTCTGCACGTAAAAGGATGGAAATAACCCAAACCCATAAACATTTGTACGCGTTTGAACATGTGCTATGTGGCCCTTTACTTCCTCGTGTGCCACACGCCAGCCGGCATCAAACCGTCGACATGGTGGCGGGCAGCATGTCAAGGCCAATCTGGACGACCAACTCACGTTGCCCTGGCCGAGGGCGAGGTGGACGCTCTCTTGCGGGTGCTCGAGGGGGAGGAGGACCGATCATACTGTGCAACTTCATCATGTAACCTAAGTGTCCCAGAGGGCCCCCGAAGTGCGCAAATACAACATCGAAATACCCCTTTTGGTGTGTTCACGTTTTTATGTGCAAAAACGTAAACACTAATCCCGCGTTACCAAAACGTACATATGAACGTAAACGTAAACGCAAAATCCAAGCCTGATTTCTAGAACCATATGCTTACCATGTCAAAATTTTGTTCGTGTCCATTGCCTCCCGTCGAAGTTAGATGCACAACTTGAAGATACGGTGGAAGCAAGGACACTGCGCGCCTGTACAAGGGGCTTGCGGCGTCCATTATTCTAATAAATAATTCATCCGAAGCACGAACCTGCATTGTGGCCATACGAAATTAGATGTTCGAAACATATGAATTCAGATATAGTACAGTCGGGTGGGGAACATTTGAATGCAAATGTGCAAATTCACGAATGTTCATGGAGAGCACAGTTGGATCGAGAATATTCGAATGCACATGTACGAATATTCGATTCTATATTGGTGCCTTTGGTTACTGGATGCACTTTCAGCACAGCAGACAGCGAGTCAGCAGGCAACACGTCACCTCAGTCTGCAGCGGCACGTTGTTCAGGCCAAATCCTTCATCAGCAGTCTACAAGAACATTTGAGCTACAAAAGCGTCACGAGCCTCGAACTGCATCCTTCAATCAGGCGCAGATGTGCAGTCCTGACAACGCTATCACCTGTGAAAATCCACAATAGTGCAAAGGAGGTATTGTGTCCATGCACAGGCGTCTGATAGGAGTGCATCGGGCAATTTTAGCGACCAGAATATTCGCCTGAGCGTTTTGACTTACCTCCCCAAAATGGCTCCAAATCACAGCTATACAACTGCAGAGGATAATTGCATATATACAAAAGAAAACGACAGCCTGCAAAGGAGAACACATCCAGTCAGCATGTCAGTCGACAAGCATCAACATCAAATTGATCAAAAGAAGCACATTCTGCACGCTGCTGGGAAACGGCTCCAAGAAGAATTTCTTGACATGCTGTGAAGCGCACATGCGCTGTCGTTTCAAATGCACAGTTTTCACTGTGATCTGTGACTTGATCTCTGTTTCTCTTAACGAGATGCATCTCAGTCTGCAACATATCCACACATCACTGAGTCCCCTTGTGCCACGCGCAACACATATTTGGATGCTCACCATCAGTCAGGCGTGGATTGACTGTCGAGCAACTGCTCCAAGCACACAATAGTTCACAATACAAGCAACTGCTACACAAGCCTGCAAATAAACTTTGTAAGCGACTGTTTACCTGAAAAGGAAAAGCGGCTTCCTGTGGTCCAAAGAATGCAGCAGCCTGCATGATGCCCAAAACACAAATTGTGAATTCTCGAATATGTTGTTGAACATGCACAGGCTTGGTCTCTGCGTTTACGCTTAGGTTTACTTTTCCGTGCAAAAACGTAAAGATGCAAAGAGGCTATTTTTATGGCTATGTTTGTTGCTCGCTAGGACACCCATGTTACATGATAAATTCCCCTGCAATGGTCAATCTGCCGCCCCCTCGAGCACCTACAACACAACATCCATCTCGCCCCTGTAAGGGCAAAATATCGTCAAACAAAATCGTTCTCTTCCAACTCCAGCGCGTCTAGCTGCCACTCCCCGGACTCCTTGAGTTTGGATGTACTGTCTCCATGCACATTGGGTCAAATTCTACGAACACTTACGTGCATTTATGCGCAAAAACATAAAAAACAGTTTCAAACGTAAGCGAGCGTAACGCTGAGTGTTTGCGCCGCAAATACCAAGCCTGAACATGTGCATTCATAAGAAGAATCCGCTCATTTTAGTGAATATAAGGTGGACAATTACATGTACTGGGATTGTCGAGGTAGCCCACCATTAGAAAAAAGATGAAAACCACAACCCCCGCAATGTTTGTTGGGTCGTCAATGGCATCCACCTGTGAAACAAAACAATGGCGGCCGCTCTTGAAATTTCGAGGCAAGAGCTGAAGCGCAACAACGGAAGCCTCAAGCAGATTTTCATGAGAACGTGTGCTGAGCTGCAAAGCGGCAACGACCTTTCATGCAGCAGTGGACAATGCAAATACTGTAAATTATTGAGCCGGAAAAGAGTTCGAAATGTACTGTTTAGAACAAAAAAACCCCTCAGATGCGCACTGATACCACAACAAGCAGACAGAGACTATTCTGCAATCAAGTCATTTCAGTCCTGGAAAAACAGAGAAGGCACCATCCATTCAACAAAATTACGGAAGCAACCTATAGGAACGCTGAATCAATTGCGCGTTCCTGTGCAGTAACGGTGATGTGTGGTTCAGAAGAAGCACTCGGCGACACCTGCAGCCAGCGCAGCCTCCCATATTGGACATTCTGAACACTGCCGCTTCCAATGTTTCCATGTTCTCAGGCGCGTTTTGAATGCTAGTATTTGCCACTTCATGTGAAAGTCACTCCCAACACGCCGAAGGAAGCGGTGTGTGCATTGGGCGGCACATGCACTACACAAAAAAATATATACTTCGTAATATGTGATTAAAAACATACAGTATTCAAGTCAAAAAACACAGCACATCAATTTCCTTTAGCATTCACAGATCAGCCACCAACAATCGACAGAGCGTCTATCATGGTGTCAAGCCTTTCTTATGGTCATTCGTCCGTTTAGAGCACAGTGACCTTACCTGTGGAGATACTATGGAATTGATCCAGGGACGGAAGGCGCTGACCGCAGTGCATCCAATTCCACTCTCTTCAAGCGACGAGAAATTGGAGCAGCTGACCACGCCCAAAAGGAGGTCTTTACTGGGCTGTTGGCTTTCGTCTACCAAGCCGTCGCTGTTCGAATTCAACGCGCCATTGAGGATCAGGACTGGCCCCCCCGAAGAACCTGGAGAATTATCCAAAGTATTAGGCAACACGATCAGCGGTGTGCAGTGGTGTGCGCTAATGAAAAGCGTGCTCAAACCACCATAGAGGTTGCATGATTTGGTTCATTTTGAAGCGTTACATAATATCGATGCACGATTTCTGGGCTGTCACCGTTTAGACACTAGAAAAATTGTGAATGCGAATTTCGACAGGGACCGATGCAACATGTGGTTGTTTTCTACTCTTTACACTGACGAATGTAATATGGTAATGTCATCCTTACCAGAAGCGTCGCTTGCATGATTTTGCAGAATACATGTATACATACAATGCATTATGCACAAAAATGCATTCAATTTACGTAGCTCCCAATGCTATGTCCCTGGCACTTCACGAGGTGAGATGCACTAAAGATTCTATGCCCCACATTGTCTGCAAGTCGCAATAGCACTGTCTGTTTTACACATCCCACTGCCTAATATGTTGTTTGTTTTCCAGCGTGAGAATGTTTCAATAACGGCACCAACAGCACCAGGTATAGTAACAGAATTGAATATTTTTATCAGTAGTAGCAATAGTGGTCATAATATTACTAATAGTTTGAGTAGCACTAAGAAGAACATTTCGATATTGCCCTGAGTGAAATCTAGCAATGATAATTGCGAAATACAGCAACGTTGATATCTTGCTTCCTCTGTCTGGAATCAGTATGAGTTTTGCGCACAATTGCCATGCGATTCGACCTGCCACCTAAACACTGGCAGTACAAACTTTAAATCACTAACGTTAGTCGCAATTTCCGTCCATTAAACACTGAAAATGCGCCTACAGAAATTTGCACACAATGAGCTCTCTTATCGGCTTCCAAACGCACCTGGCTGCATCCCTGACGTGGATGAGTAAATGCAGAACATGTCTGGGCTCAAGGTCCCCATATTCGGGCACAGCTCTGGATTGACCACGACGAAGAGCCCCGCCTCGAGGCTTTGCTCAAAGACCAGGCTGTGGACCTTCGTGTTTGGGTGCGGGGCGGTGCTTTCGTTGGCCATTCGAGGCATCGGCGCAATGATTTCCCGCGGCAGTTGGAGCAGTGCCACGTCGTAGCCGTCATAAATGCTTCCAGTCCAGTTAGGGTGCCGGTGCGCCCTCTCCACTCTGAGTTCCTGTTGGCATTGCGAAGAATTTGCTAAGTTACGAAGCAAATGACATGGCACAGCATCGTCATGAGTATCCTAACAATACATGAGTACCACTGAGTAACAATGGTACAGAAACAACTAGCATATAGTAACTGAGCTGTGCAGCCCACCACTCCTGGTCAACAGACATTTTACACTGTTGCTGATCATCTTGTCTTTTTCCTGGAATAATTGATGTACTCTTATCGGCATTGCGCTGTTGTTGGTATTGTATTATTTTTGCAATTTCTTTTCATCCTACTATTAACATCATTATCAGCATAATCACTGCTTTTATTGTCAGTCTCATTGTTGCTATTATCGTATTGCTTCTTTGCAATTATTGATACTATGTTGTGTTGGCCATTATTTCGTTACTAACATCGGCTCGTGTATACGGGTCAAAAAAGTCTTAATTCCCTTTACCAAAGGACCGTTGAGTGCACTGCAGTACGTTTTGGTCAGGTGATAATCGCATTATTTTGGTAAATACAGCGATGAATTGTCTTTGAGAGCCGGTTTAAGGCGCACTGCCAACAGGAACTCTCAAAGACTGGCAGCTACTGCGACCCAACATGGAAGAAAGTAACACAGGCTCGGTTCTGCCAAACCTCTCGGCATCTCATTTTGCTCATCTTGCACTCTGAGCAGTTCACTACAGCGCCACGGACCTACCCGCCGTCGCTGTTGCCCCAGGTGCCCACTGCCACAATGGCACTTGTCCCCAGCACCCAAAAAGCTCACAACTGATCGCCCTTCCAAAACCGCCATATTGCAAATTCTATTGTCTGATACACGTTAATACACTTAAACTATAGAATGTGCAAACTTCAGGATCAAGAACATCTGCAAGAGCAGTGGCAGCAAAGGAAAGCAGTGTCGGCAGCAAAATTTGCAATGTTGCAGATGAGATGTTCTTAAACTTATCATCAGAAGAGCTTGCCTTCATGCTCGAGGCCCACCCATCGCTGCTGCTGGCCTGTGCACCCGATACTCCTAGGTTTGGACATAGTCACATTAAAAACAGTCCTTGGGACCATGCTACTCTTTCTTGCGCTCATCTTGTTTCAGTTCTGTGAATCCTGGGGAACGAATTTCTAGACAATGCATTGAACCACCAGAAAAATCTATTGCTATTGCCAAGCTAGCCATGGCCAGTGTTTTGCACTCTGCTTTTATTTCCATTAATCCTGTGAATCACAATAGCCAATGTAATGCATGTTTACGTTGAAAACACGAGCGCCATTGCCAACTTGACAGAACTCACCTCGACGCCGTCGTCCCACCTGTCATCGTCGATGTCCCGCGCGCCCACCGCCACGATGGGATTTGGTCCAACAACATCCACACAATTGGCCGTCGTGATGATGAAGCGGCTTCCGATCAGCACGCCGGAGCAGACATGCGATCGGCCTCTACCCTTGACAGACACCATGGATGGGAACCGCCCTCGAGAGGCAGGCTGCCAGTTGTCCTGTTTGGATGACAAGAATAGGAATTGGAATATGGCATAGCTAATACATCGCGCTGCAGCAGCTTTCAAAATTCTGTTATATGTACATCGCCAAAGCATCGCTTGTTGCAACAATGTCTCATTTTTCAAATATCATCACACTAGGTATGTACATAACACAGTGATTTCAAGTATGACGTCTCAAGTGGTCGCCTGGGGTGCTTCCAATCAAACTACGCCCCTAGCTACAGGAAATTAGGAAGTGAATGGGGCATTCCATTAAATTCACAACGATCTCCAAGTGTAATATGTCCGACATACCCTTCATAATCACACGATCCTGCCTTCAATTTATTTGCTGCATGTTGTTATTGCCCACATTTGAGCTGTCCAGTACATTCTGGTGCTAATGTAAATTGTGTGGAATGGGGAATCCTTGACGGTGAGATGAGAGGCATGCTTCCACAGCCGGAATTGGAAAGATGCAGAAGGGACGTATACTCCACAGCTGGACAAATGCATGTTGAATATTTTGTTGATTGTTGGTGATTCACGGTGGCGATTGTAGCTGACACTAATAATACGGTGCTTGTTGCACTGAATCAATGGATGAATGTTGCCATTGAGTGGAGCATCCACTGCAAGTCAAGAACGATGCATGTGAAGCTTTATGCTGCTGGCAGAAATACAGTGCATACCATGACGATCTGCATCGCTGGCATAGTGTCGACCTAATAGGTAGACATGATGGGCAAGACCTAATTGATGTTCTGTTTCTAGTTTTCTTCCTTCCTTGGGGAAGGAGCCAGCCCCAATGCTGCCACTGTCTCTGCCACAATTTCAGTTGTGCACCAAAGTGATGTGCACAAGAATAGACTATGCAATCAGGCAACTGTGGCACATCCTCACTGCTGTTAATAACTGCTTGTTCCATGCCTGAACCTTTGGCCATTCCTTACTGGCAGCAAATAACTGGGGGACAATGCACTGCTTCTCGGGTGCGCTTTTGATTCATGCATGTGAACAGACTATCTCAGTTTGGTAATGTGCAACGCTGTCCAGTGTGGCAAGCAAGCTTTCTAAGATGTCTTGCTGTGAGAATGTCCATGTGGCCTCACCTTCGTGGCATGGATGTGCAGGCAAAACCAAAGAAAGCAGATGCTGCATCTTGCTGTTGGACGAGCGACCATAGCCCTGTCATTGCGCACAAGGTCAAGCTCAGAACACAACAAATTTTGGTAGCCCACTTTCGCAAGCTGCTTCGATTCTTGCAAATTGCTGCTTTCGATCTCCTTCATTGCTGCTGCCATTTCTGTGGAATTCCTCTTGATTCCCGCTGCCGATTTCGTGGAATGTTCCCTTGAGCCAGTCGACAGCACTGGCACCCCAATGATTCAATTCCAGACAAGCCAGCAGCAGCCTGAGATTCAGTCCTGGTGCCATCCCACTGGTAGAAAACGCCATGTCTGCGATGCCAACTGCGATGCTATTTTGACACAAAGTGATGCCGTCACGGCGATTGCGATGGGATAAAAGTGGCTGCGATGGCATCAATTTGTGTCAGATAGTGTTGCAATTGACGTTGCAAACATGCTGTTTTCTGTTTTGTGTCCAGGGATCCCCAAGGCATCTCAGTGGCCGCAATTTATCCCACTCGGACCACAGCTGGCCTGCGAAAACGGTGGTAAGATGCCGCGGCTAAAACGGCCAAAGGCAACTGTTGAAACGCCCATCAGGGTTCCCAGATCCCCATCAAGGTGTCGATGGTACAACGGTTTCGAAAGCGCCGCAAAGCCCAACTGTGTAGGATGCCCAAGAGCCACCGATCGCCGATGGCATCGAAGAGCTAACCGTCGGCGGCCGGCGCCAGGCATTGGCGATGACGCCCTGGGGTAAATACAGATCGATCGAAATGCTCCATAAATCCAAGCATGCACAGCTTGACCAGCCGGCGACTAAGGTCTGGCAGTGCGGAGAGGAGGACATCGCTGCCCCCCAAAGCGTAACGCGTTCCCCCTTGTCCGCGGGGCGCAGCGCATGCCATTTCGCAACGGATGAAAGGGGCCAGATCCGGTCCCAAATGAGCTGATCTGCCGCGAGGATGGCAGTGATACCGGGTCCGGCAAGAGACTTGCAGCCTGCGCAGCCACGGACCGCCGCTTGGTCGATCCCGCCCTTCTGCAGCCACACGCGCCCACCTCTCTTCCCCCTCTCCCCCGCGCCCTTCCGCCGCTGATAGCGCTTACGTTGCTGTTTCGCGATGAGGATCTTATCCCAGGCCGTACCCCTGGTCGCCCGCGGACCTCAACTTGCCATAATCTAAACTGAAACCGATCGGAGATCAAGGATCTTCGTCAGCACTCCTGGCATCATCTCACCAGCATGCTATTTGACGCCGCGGCCCACCCCCTGTTCCTCACCAATTCAAAGTCCCCGCGCAAGCTTTGCAAGCGCCAACGGCCGCTCAACGAATACGACACAACGCAGGCAACACGAGGGGCGCGGCCCCCAAAGAGCTCTTTCCCTGGAGAAGGCCAAGCCCTGAGAGCTGAGGTGCGCGCATCTGACAGGGGGGATAGCCTTGGGCATGTCGGTCCCCTTGCCCAAGGCCCATAGACGAGAGGTCGATACTGCAGGCCCGATCGCCCCATTTCGCGGCTCGCTCCCATTTCCAGGTACCTTGGCAAGCGCACAGACGCCGTGGTGATGCCCTCAGCAGGAATTCCCTCTGCGTTTGCGAAGTGTCGCGCACGCTTGTCCTACTCCCACTGCCCACTGCGCCCTCCTTTATGACGAATACTTCTCCATCCGATATGAAGGGACTTCCCGGCGCCGCGATTCTCGGCCTTTCAGCGGCAATCCGGTCCTACAACGGGGACCTCAAAACAGCAAACTGTGCTGTTGGGACCTCCAACGACCTTCCAACTTGACAGTTCCAGGGGCGTATATGTAAACACATAGTCACGTTTTCGCTGAACGCCAATCGTGCACAACGCTTGCCCCACGTCCTGACACCGCGCATGCCTGGACCCTCGTCACTTTGCGCGCATCATTTCGGGCCGGGCGCCGAACACACTGGGTTCGATCAGGAACCAGCGATTGTTGGTTCAGAATGTTGCGAGGGGGAAGGCTGCGGCCCGCCACAGCTTTGCGTTGATCGGCAGAGCGGATGGTGACCAGGATGCAAGAAGCACGGCCTGGGGACTAAAACGTGGTTGCGTCATTGGGCATTGGGGCCCGGGGTGAAACCGGCAGCGATCAAGTCGGCCAGGCGCAGTGGTTGGCGGCAGCCTCGCGCGTGTCGATTCCGCTCAAACAGACGAACCAACTCCTTACCGCTGGACGATGGGCTCTGGCGCCGCACGGAAGTTGGAGTTTGTCCTGCGCGCAGCCGCTGCTGCTGTGGCCCACCGGCTGGCGTGACAAGAGTTCCATATTTGTTGTGGGCCCATTTGCGTGTACCGGCTCGTCCGTGCAACATGACGCCCGCCAATCACACGAGTGTCGTTTCGCGTTCGACCTCCAATGATGAGTGTCTGCCATCGCGATTATCGTGATCACGAACGAAGACCGACGACTGTACTGCGCTGTGGGAGTTTTCCTCGAAACGGTGATGTTTTTAATTGTTGAACTTGCAGTAAGGTTCAGGAGAGCTAATTTGCCCCGACAATTATCCCCGGGTGCAATAGGGTTGCTGCTCAAGCCGACAGCGGAACTTCAGCGACATTCATAGAATATTAACCCTGCGAATAACAATAAAGCAGAATGTAGTTGCTGTCTCCTCCAAGCGGTCCACATATCCAGCGACTCCCAAGCTTGGCTTGCCCCGCTGGAAAGGGGAGAGCCTGTACAGCACGACATGTCGTGTGCCCATTTCCCTGTGCCATCGCCATAGCCAGGGCTAGGTCTAACTACGGCAATGTCCCAGCGCGGTGGGCACACGACAGGCGGGCAGACTACGAGCCACAAGGCTGTGGCTTGCCGAAGAGTGGTTGCCTGGCGCCCATTTGCTCATTCGCATCAATTGAAGGATAGTCCGCGCACTGCCAGCCCAGAAGATTACGACCATGGGCGGCGCTGACTTTGAGAGCCCTCAGTCTTCAAGGAATCAACAGCACAGCGGGCGGAGCAGCACAGTGGCCAGAGGCATATTCATGCTCGCCTGAAGCGCTGCGCAGGAGAAAGGTGGACGCGAGGCCAAACCTTCCAACACCAAGGACAATAGTCCAACACTACAGGAAAATACCGTTCCAACAGATACCGCAGTGAGCGGTTTCCTGGGCATCCTGCTGCCATCGGCCCGAAGTGTGCTTTCCGCTGCTGCTAGCTTGTGAACCGGAGGGGCTGACGGAACCAAACATCGTGGAAGCCCAAAGCTGTAGGTTGGACTTCAGCGAACTCGTAAAAGCATCCCGCTGATGTTATGTTGAAAAAGGACAACTGTGAACGTTCTAAACTTCACCATTGCTTAGATGTGGAGTTGCAATACATCCAGACCCGGAAGGAAGGGAACTGTGTCGGACACTTGTGGTGGTGGGCCGCGGAATCACCCCTGCAGTGCTTTGCAGAAACCAAGCAGCAAGGATCACGAGCCTTCACGAGTAGTTTCTCCTCGCGATTCCAAGGCAGGAAGACCCAGAGGGAAGGTAGCTACCTTCCTATAGGACGTGTCGGACAGAGACCTTCATATCGCGGAGAAAAACTGGTCTAAAAGTCCATGCACTTGGAAGGCAAAGGCGAGCCTTGGTGCACACACGCATCATAGCGTGAGCAGGTGTTTGGAGTAGGGAGTGAGCATCTCCGTCTTCAGCGCAGACCCGAATTCGTGCTAGGATCCGTTGCTAATTGTGCATCTGCTGCTGTCTTGCACAGCTGCAAATCCTATATTATACACATAGTCCTATTCGTTACGGCCAGGCTTGGTTTTTACGGCGTAAAAACTGATTTTATTATGTTTTGACGCATAAAAATAATTTTTACGTTTTTACGCATAAAACCAGTTTTTGCGTTTTACACGTACAAATGCATAAAGGGAAGTAAACACAACGTAGAAACTGCCCGGTGTGCATAAGGGCAGTACGTACAGGCTTACAGAATCTGGAGAGTGGCAGCCAGATGACTTGGAAGGGGGGAAAAACGAGTTTATGTTAAACGTCGTTATCGCCCTTGCCAAGGGCGAGGTGGGCATTGTGCTGCGGGTGTGGAGGTGGTGGAGGACTGATCATTGCTGGCAACTTTCACTGTGCAACCTGGGTGTCCCAAAAAGCCGCAAGCACGCAAAAATAGCCATAAAAATAGGCCCTTTGCAAATTTACGTTTTTATGTGCAAAAATGTAAAAGTAATAACGTAAACGTAAAAACCAAGCCTAGCTATGGCAGGGCGACGGCATCAGCCCTCTCTGATGCGTCTGTAACTTAGTGGTGTGACCTTCTCGACTGCGATGGTCAGGTGAGTGTAAGTCCAGTGAGGACTAAGGACACTAACGAAATGCACACGATGAGCATGTGTGGTTCCCATCCATCTCCACCCCATCTCTACCCCAGTGTCCTGTGTGACATGCTGAAGCCAGGGCACCCATCGATGTAGCGCCTTCTGCCGTACCGGCTGGCCAGTTCTGGAAGTTAGCGTAACTTACAGTTCATTTACACGAGTGGCAGCACTGGTGAAGAACCTAGGGCTCTGAGTGAAAGAGAAATTTGCCAAATTTCCTGATTCCGCGCTGTTTCTCATTATAACCGTCAGCACACTTCGTATTCTGAATATTTCGCCATTTCGCATGTCCGCATACTTTCGAAAATGTGTAAGTTCGTGCACATTGTTTGCCTGGTCCTGTGACAAACGTAGTGAGCTGAGAATTTAAAAGAAACTTCGAGAGCTGGTTGTTGTTGTTGCTATTCTGCAGCAGCCTCTTCTAGGGTAAGGGCAGCGCTGGGGCGGGGACAGCGTGCCTTTGTACCGCGACATCGTCGTTCAAATCACGATTACGTAAGTTACATTGGACTTCGGGCCCTCGCCTTCACGTGAATACGTGGACCTACTAGCAGTACATTCATCAATCCCACTCTGCAATGTGGCCATTGCGGTGGCCTGCTGCGAGCTCAGCGTAAGTCCCTCACGGGAATGCGCACATTGCCTCCGCACGCGCCTCTGCGCAAGTCCAATCTCTCGTGCAAAGTCCTGTGCAGTTCC